AATATGTTGTTGGATTCTGTTTGCTAGAATTTTGTTAAGGATTTTTGCATCTATGTTCATCAGTGATATTGGCCTGTAGTTTTCTTTTTTTGTGGAATCTTTGTCTGGTTTTGGAATTAGGGTGATGGTGGCCTCATAGAATGAGTTTGGAAGTTTACCTTCTTCTGCAATTTTCTGGAAGAGTTTGAGTAAGATTAAATCTATTTTTTTCACTTAATATTCCTGATGGACTTTAATGTTGTTGAACAGTCTTCCCCACAGCATTTTTAGTAGCCCCAGAATTTACCATAGTATGAACATAGCATGTTTTATGTCACTAGTCTCTTGTCTCTGGACATTGAATTTTCCCATTTCATTTGCTATCAAAGCAATTCTGTGATGCATATGTTGGCAGCTAAATGATCAACATATCTACAGTTGTGGGTTCTCGAAGTACAATTGCTGGGTTCAAACATGTCGGTCTTTCAGAAAGTTTGTACCAATGTCCCTCTTCATCCACAGTGTGAGATTTTGAAGTCCTCAAATTGGGGTGAGATGTGAACCCCAAGAAACCCCCGATGGAGTGGCTAGTTTTTCCATGGAAAAGCCCATGTCTGAACCCCAAGTAAAGCACAGGAAGCAAGACAAAAGGGCAGAGAACAAGCATCATCCCCTCCACTCTGGCTTGGTAGACAAGATAGCAAATAGAGGCTTGTCTTCCCTGAGGGAGGAAAGCAGCTGTAAATGGCAGAATGTACCAAAGGTGTCATCCTTTTACATAAAACTGCATTATATCATCAGTATCATTACTACTAACAAAATGAACACCATTATGTGAGTGCTTGCTCTATGTTGGGCACTGTGCCAAAAACTTCCCTTGAATCATTATGAAATTCTCATGGGTGCTGGAGCAGGCTGGACTGGCCCAGACCTTGACATGTATTGCGCATTGCTTGTGAGCAAACTACTTAATCCCCTAAGCCTCATGGGATCCTTCAGCTCCACCATCCCACCTCCACTCCCTCCTCCAGGCAATAACTGTTCTTGCCTGTTCACTGGATGCCAGCCCGCCTGCCAGCTGTGCGACTGTACTTTTCAAGGTGGCTGTCGTCGTTCAGTTGTGTTCGACTCTTTGTGACCCCATGGGCCACAGTGCGCCAGGCTTCCCTGTCCTTCACTATCTCCCGGAGTTTGCTCAAACTCATGTCCATTGAGCTGGTGATGCCCTATACTATAATACTAACAATATTTTCTTTATTTTCTGTGCTTATTTTTTTCAATGTATTACTTGTATGAAATTATTTTTTTTCTTTCTTGATTAAAAATTTATTTGGCTGCATTGGGTCTTAGTTACAGCATGTGAGATCTTCGCTGTGTCCTGGAGGATCTTTCATTGCAGTGCATAGACTATCTAGTTGTGATGCACAGGCTCAGTAGTTGTGGCATGCAGCCTTTGTTGCTTCATGGCACGTGGGATCTTAGTTCCCAGACCAGGGACCAAACCTGCGTCCCCTGCATTGCAAGGCA